TAGAATAAACTGTTTACAATTCCTTCATCCAAATAAATGGGCTTTTTAGATATGGTCCTTGTTCTCAACCTTAAAGATATATTTGAAATTGAAAGACTTAAGAGACTATGGACTCTGAGAAACAAACAGAGTTCTAGAGGGGAGGGGGTGGGGGGATGGATTAGCCTGGTGATGGGTATTAAAGAGGGCATGTATTGAATGGAGCACTGGGTGTTATATGCAAACAATGATTCATGGAACACTACATCAAAAACTAATGATGTAATGTATGGTGATTAACATAACATAATAAAATTTAAAAAATGCAAAAAAAAGACTTAATATTGTTAAGATGTCCATACTATCCAAAGTGACCTACCTACCCAACATGATCAATATCTTATTAAAATCCCAACAATTTTTTTGAAGAATTAGGAAAAAAACCCTAAAATTTATATGGAATCTCAAGGGACCCTGAATAACCAAAACAAAAGGAAGAATAAAGTTGGATGTCTCACACTTCCTGATTTCAAATCTTACTACAAAGCCATGGTAGTTAAAACAGTGTAGTAGTGGCATAAAAACAGATATATAGACAAATGGAATAGAATGAAAACTTCAGAACTAAACCTTCCCTTATATGGTCAAATGATTTTTCACAAGGGTGCCATGACCATTTAATGGGGAAAATGACAGTTTTTTCAACAAATGGTGTTGAGATAACTGGTAAGACACATACAAAAAGAATGAAGTTGGACTTTTATCTTACATCATATACAAAAATGAACTCAGAATGGATCAAAAACCTACATGTGAAGAGTTAAAACGATAAAGCCCTTAGAAGAAAACATAGGAAAAAGTCTTTATGACATTGGATATGTCAATGATTTCTTAGTTACGACACTAAAAGCACAGACAACAACAAAAAAAGATGGACTACATAAAATAGTGTGTAAACTACATAATACTGTGCATCAAAAGACATGATATGGGTGCCTGGGTGGCTCAGTTGGTTAAGCGACTGCCTTCGGCTCGGGTCATGATCCTGGAGTCCTGGGATCGAGTCCCGCATCGGGCTCCCTGCTCAGCAGGGAGTCTGCTTCTCCCTCTGACCCTCTTCCCTCTCGTGCTATCTCTCATTCTCTCTCTCTCAAATAAAAATAAATAAAATCTTAAAAAAAAAAGATTAAAAAAAACTTTAAAAAAAAAAGACATGATAGAGTGAAAATGTAACTTAGAGAATGGGAGAAAATATTTGCAAATCATATACCTCACAAGGGGTTAATATTTAGGATGTATAAAGAACAACAGCTCGACAACAAAACCCCCCGAAGAACCCAGTATGACAATGGGCAAAAGACTCAATAGATATTTCTCCAAAGAAGCTATACCAATGGCCAATAAGCACATGAGGGGATGCTCAAAATCACTAATCTTTAGGGAAATGCAAATTTAATCCACATGAGATACTACCTCACACCCATTAGGGTGGCTACTATCAAACAAACAAAAATAACAAGTGTTTGCAAAGATATAGAGAAATTGGAACCCTTCTGCACTGTGAGAATGTAAAGTGGTACACTTATATGAAAAACAATATGGAGCTTCCCCAAAAAATTAAAAATAAAATTATCATATCATCTAGCAATTCTATTTCTGGGTCTGTATCTCAAAGAATGGAAAGCACTTCTTGAAGAGATATTTGCATAGCCATGTTCATAGCACTATTAATCACAACAGTGATTGGAAACAACCCAAGTGTCCCCCTGACAGATGAATTGATACACATAATGTGGTATATACATTCAATAGACTATTATTCAGCCTTAAAAAAGAAAGGAAGTTTTGAAACATGCTAAAACATGGGTAAACCTTGAGAACATTGTTATGTGAAACAAGCCAGTCACAAAGAATAGTTGATTCTACTTCTATGAGTTAGTTACCTAGAGTGGCCAGATTCATCCAGACAGAAAATGGTCATTTCTAGGTTCTGCGGGGAGGAGATAATGGAGATTTGTTTAATTGGTACAAAGTTTCAGTTTTAAGATGAAAAGAGATCTAGAGATAAATGATGGTGATGGTTGCACAACAATGTGAATGTATGTAATGCCACTGAATGGTACACTTAAAAATGGTTAAGATAGTAAATTTTATGTGTATTTCATCACAATTAATTAATTATATGCATATACAAACAAAGATATATTGGAGAGCTATCTATAAAAGGGGAGACCAGAGATGTTTAATTCTCTTATGCTTTCTGATCCTTAGATAATAACTATAATCTCATTTCCTTGTACCTCCCTTTTTTCCCCTTTAGCAGAATACCAGACAATATTGTGACCTTTCCCATTGCCAAAAGTCTTGGAACTAGCTGAGTTTTCCACTCCCTCCTTGTTTTCTAACAAGCCAGGGTGCTCAGTGTGCTTTTGAAACCAGACACCATCCTTCCCCTCATATGGCTTACATTCCAGTTGGGGGTATATAAGCAGCAAAAGGGGCAATCATAACAAAATGTGGTGGTGTTAATTTCTAAAAAGTTCACCTGAAGCCCTGGTGGTATGAATTCCAAAGGGCTTCCTACAGTAACTTAGTACATGGAGGTGACGAAGCAAAGTGGTGATAAGAATAGCATAAAGCCTTGCAGCTCTAACTTGACCAAACATACACTAAGAAATATCATGTACAATATTCCATCAAGATAAAAGGCTCATTTTTGTTTTAAATTATATAGGCATGAGAGCAGGGTGGAGAGGACATGATTCACATGTGAAACACTCCTTTGTGGTTGACGTGGAAAAAAATTTAAAGCTGTAGGCTCCAAGTATGGACAAGAGCTATTTGATTAGCAGGTGTTTCAAGGGGTCAAGAGTGAAAGATAGGAATATGGAACTGAAGTGTGGGAAATTTACTACTAGGATTTTTTTTAGTGGCTAAGAAACAAGTCCATGACACTTATGATGTCATTTTATTTGAGTAGGAAAAACTAACAGATGAAATCGAGGCAACTACAAAACTTCCTATATGATTGATTGAAAAATTTGTAACAAAAGCAGATGCTTCAACTGGAAAAGTTTCTTTCACAGCTTCCTCTCCTGGTTTTGTAACTGTCAACCAAGTTGGGCAAAAATATTACAATGTATTTGGGCAAATGAGACTCCACCATAGGCTTTTAAGTTAATACATAAAAAAAACATTTAAAAATATTAAAGGAAGTCATATTTAGTTCTCTTTATTTCTTCATCAAGATTATTATTGATTCCTTTAAATGTTCTATCATATTTTTTTATTAGAAAGAAAAAATGCACAGAACAGGACTGCATCAGTGAAAGCCTGCAATTCTTTCCTTTTTATTAAGCACAAATTCACCATTTGGTAAAATTAAGGTATTCTTAAATTTTTAGCCACAATGTAGTTTAACAAACCTTATTTTCCTCAGTGGTGGAAGAACACCTTGAAGTTCCTCCCACATAACACAATGATATAATGTAGGTCTGTTAACCCTGAGTGCTCAATAAACTCCTCTTAAAATTTCACATTAAAAAATTAAAAACATTTTAAAGATTTTATTATTTATTTATTTATTTGATAGAGAAAGAGAAAGATAGTACAAGCAGGGGGAGCAGCAGAGAGAGAGGGAAGCAGGCTCCCCGCTAAGCAGGGAGCCCAATGCAGGGCTTGATCCCAGGACCTTGGGACCATGACCAGAGCTGAAGGCAGCCACTTAACTGCCTGAGCCGCCCAGAAGTCCCCAAAACTTCAAAACATTTTGATAAACAAACATTTATTGCTTGGGTAGACTTTTGGTGTTTCAAGAGTAATGAGTCCTCCAAATTCATCTGAATTAATTTGGAAAAACAAAGAAGAGTATTTAGCTTCATAAAGATTTCTTTTTAAGATTTTGTTTGTTTATTTGAGAGAGAGAGAGCGAGCGAGCATGAGTGGTGGGGGGGAGGGACAGAAGAAGAGGGAGAAGCAGACTTCCCATTGAACAAGGAGCCCTGTGAGGGGCTCCACGAGGGCCTCCGTCCCAGGACCCTGAGATTATGATCTGGGCTGAAGTCAAATGCTTAACCGAGTGAGCCACCCACGCACCCCTAACTTCATAAAGATTTTAACTAGGATATTCTATTTAAGTTTTTGGTAAATATATCAATTTATTTCCCAAACCTGCTTTTCCTGGGTCCTGTATTTCAATGAATGAAGTCGTCACCCTCCCACTACAGCTCAAAATCTCAAACTCTTGTTTTGACTTCTTTTTCTCTTTGCTCCACCCACATCTACGTAGTTTTTACTCACACCAATTTTACATTTACAGACCCTCTTGCTTGCCTCATTTTCAATCCAAAAGTATGCAGGATTATTGAAATCGCCTTCTAACTCAACTCCCTACCTTTGGATTTTTACTTATCTAATCCATCCTACACAATACTGTCAGATCAATTTTCTTAGTTTACAGCGCAAATGCTGATGTTCTGCTCCTACAACTTCCCATTATCAGCTTAGTTTTTGGAGTGTCCTATCTTGATATTCAATACTCTCAAGGACCTATTCACAACATAGCTCTCTAGCATTGTTTCTACTGCTATCTTTTACATTCTCTGAGCTCCTAGGTCCTTTAACCTACTATATTCATAATGTTTCCTTTATGTAGGCTGTGCTTTTATCACTTTCAATATGTCTAAGAATTTTGCCTCAGTAGCAAGACTCAGCTCAGATTCTGAACCCTTCCTAAAAGCCTTCATATCTCCATCCTCTGAATTTTCAAAGCACTTTATATGTATCTCCCACTTTGTATAATTTTGATCATGTCTTTAATTTTTCATTTACACTTTAATCCCTTGATAGATTTCAAGCTCCTTTTGAGCAGGCTTTATAGGTGCTTTATCTTGTTATATCCCACACTCCAGTTGTTCAGTAAGTATTCAACTGAATTATTTAATTAATTGAAAACCCTTGAGATTTCAGGTGTGAGATGTGTTAAGGAAGGAAATTTATTCACCTTTGAATAATATTATGCATTTGTAGGTCTAAAGAGGAGAACTGAGTTTAGTAATTCCAAACTATTGCCATAAATTTGAAACTGTAACACAGGGTTTACTGGAAACTTATTAAAAGTTATATCTCATGTGGTGATTGATTAATTTCTCAATATTAAGAATTCCATGTAGGGGGCACAGATACAACAAACCTAACAAAACAACTTCCATAATCTATTATCTTGCCTGTTTTCTGTTTCTAATGATTTGACATTGGCTGTTCCAAAGGAAACATCCAATGTAGGAGGTAGTAGAGCCGATTACTGCACACTGCCCTCTGGTGAGCCACAAGGGTAATCTAGAGGGGAAAATTTAGGGTTGAGAGTATAACTCATTCTCCATGTCCAGGATGCCAGCTGGTGCCAAAGAATGATGTCACATTTTGTGATGTGATCACTTCTCTCAATTGTGCTCTCCTGAGTCTACCAATTCTTTCCATGTAGGTCATCAAACGGCCATCAGCTGGTAAAACTTTCCTCCTCACATAGCCAGAAATGGATCCAGAATCGTTGTAATGAGTCTTACTAAACCAGGAATTAAAAAAAAAAAATTAGTATTACTTCCTCCATGACATTTCCCTGCATCTTCAAATATCACCAAAGCCTTGAGTGAAAATAATGATAAAAAATATTCTCCTCAGTTTGTAAGGAAAATGGACTCCTAGTAATTGCCATGCTAAATTCTATGTTCTCATTAACAAGTCTTATTTTATATGTAAAAATATAGAGCTTTCTCATTCTTAAAGAGAAGGCCAAAAACCAAATAACCAACTTAACAGCATTAGAAGTAGTACTGTTTGACTTGGAAGGACCACAAGCATATCTGGCTTTTGACCATATTAATACTACCATGTTGCTGGGTGATATTCACTTATTCATTACCACCTGACCAAATACCATCCATCAATAAAGGGATAATTAAAAGTTTCAGAACAGACACGGAACTGCTCAAAACTCATATTCTAGAAAGGATACAAATAACCCAGTGACCAATGAGGTGTTTCACTGGCTTCTGCAATCAACTGTATTTACTGTTTGTATTCAATGATGTTTGTTATTTTCTTATCCTATTCTCAACTTTAGGCAACTACATTTTGTATGAGTGATACCAGTAATGGGTAATCTTCAAATAAGTGGAAATTTCCTTTCTGGAGAAGAAGGAAAAAGACTTGCAGAAACATGGAATAAGTGGCATCTTGTTTTATGGCATGCTAATGTTTAAACAAGAAAATTTCCCTTTAATAAAAATTTTGACTCTTCAAACTCCAAGAAACTGACCTTGCTTTAGAAGCATATTCTAACCTTCTAAAATAAAAGTGTAATTTTTCCTTATGTTCTTTATTATGTAGTTAAAGTTTACATTACACTCGAACTAAAATCCTTTTTTGACTCTCAATCTTTTAATTTTCTGAGGCTGTTTACATGCAAAGTCAGTGAACGATTTTTTACTTATTGTTAATTTATTTTACTTTCAAGTAAAAAAAAAAAACATTCTGTGGGAGGTTTTACACTGGTTTCTGCTGAGTTGTTGCTTAAATGTGGGTAAAGGGATTCCTGAATTCAGAGAATTCATATTAAATAAAATAGCATCTAAGTTCCTTTAACCTCCAAAATTTTATGTTTCCAATGATATCATACACTGGTGAACAATTGTTTTAAAACTAAATATTAATTATATATGTAATATGTATTTAAACCCAATCTTTGTGCTGTTGTATATTATGTAACTGAAAAAGTACCATGAGGAGAAATGGTATGAATAAAATTTGTTTTTCACCACAGAAATAATGTTACTCAGGCTTTGATTACATAACTACCAACTAATTCTATGTGTAGTGACCGTTTAATCAAACAGGATATATCCTGTATTTTGCATTGTAGTAAGTCTACTTTCTAAAATAAAGTAAATATTTATAAATCAAGTAGGGAAACTGGTAGCATTGTATATGAATCAATTCAATCTTACAATCTATTATATCAAGTTCTTCTTTTGCTTTTTCTTATAACTATTTTTTTTTAATGGATACCAACCAAAAAGTGAAAAAAACCACCAGGGTCATAGAATTTAAAAAACTTATTTAAAAATGACTTTGATTATTATAATGCCATTTATGATGTTGATACCTTTTCTTCATATAGAGCTTTCCGATTTAATTTAATTAAAAAAAATTTTTTTTGAGAGAGAGAGTGTGTACGTGGGAGGGGAGGAGCAGAGGGAGAGAGAGAATCTCGCCTCATGGGGCTGGTGGGGCTCCATCTCATGACCCTGAGATCATGATGTAAGCCGAAATCAAGAGTCAGACGCTTCACCTACTGAGCCACTCAGGCACCCCAGGACTCTCCAATTTAAAAAAATAATAATAAACTTTATTTTTTAGAGCAGTTTTAGGATCATAGCAAAATTGAGTGGAACGACATGGAGTTCCCATATCTCCTTGTCTCCACACATGCATAACCTCCCTCCTATCAACATCTCATACCAGGGTGGTATATTTGTTATAATCAGTAAACCTACATTGACACATCATTATACCCAAAGTCCATAGTTTATATTAGTCACTCTTGGTGTTATAAATTTTATGTGTTTTGACAAATGTGTAATGACATGTTTCCATCATTATAGTAACATACAGAGTTTACTTATCTACTCACCTTCTAAAAGACATCATGGTTACTTCCAAGTGTTAGCAATTGTCAATAAAGTTGCTATAAATATCTGTATGCAAGTTTTTTTGTGTGGACATAAGTTTTCACTTCATTTGGATAAATACCAAGTAGAGTGGTTACTAGAATGTATGGTAAGAGTATGTTTAGTCTTGTAAGAAACTGCCAAACTGTCTTCCAAAGTGGCTGCATTATTTTGCATTCCCACCAGCAATGAATGAGAGTTCCTCTTGCTCTACATCCTCACCAGCATTTGGTGTTGTCAGTGTTTTGGATTTTGGCTATTGTAATAGGCATGTAGTAGTATCTCATTGTTTTAATTTATAATTCCCTAATGACATATGAGGTTGAAGATCTTTTCTATTCTTATTTACCATCTTCTTTGGGTCATGTTTTTTAATTGAGTTGCTCATTTTCTTATTCTTAATAGTTCTTTGTATGTTTTGGATAAGAGTTCTTTATCAGATGTGTCTTTTGCAAATGTTTTCTCAGACTGTGGCTTGTCATTTCATTCTCTTGATATTGTCTTTTGCAGAGTAGAAGTTTTTAATTTTCATGAATTCCAGATTTACAGTATTTATTTCATGGACCATGCCTTTGGTGTTGTATTTAAAAAGTCATCACCATACCCAAGATCACCTTTGTTGTCTTCTAGGGGGTTATAATTTTGCATTTCACACTTAGGTCTATGGTCCATTTTGAGTTAATTTTTTGTGTGTGCAGGGTATAAGGTCTGTGTCTCAGCTCATTTTTTGCTGGATGTCCAGTTGTTCCAGTGTTATTTGTTGAAAAGCTGTTTTTGCTCCATTGTATTGCCTTTGCTCTTGTCAAAGATCAGTTGAATATATTTATGTGGGTCTATTTCCAGGCCCCATTCTGTTCTGTTTTATTTTTCTCATCTTTCATCAATACTATTCTGTCTTAATTACTGTAGCTTTACAGTAGGTCTTGAAACTGGTTACTCTCAGTCCTCCAACTTTGTTATCCTTCCATATTAAGTTGGCTATTCTGGGTCTTCTGCCTCTCCATATAAACTTTAGATTCATTTTGTTAATATCCACAAAATAACTTGCTGGAATTTTGACTGAAATTGCATTGAGTCTATAGATTAAGTTGGGAAGAACTTACATCTTGACAATGTTGAGTTTTTTCATCCATGAACATGGAATATATCTCCATTTAGTTTATTGATATCTTTCGTCAAAGTTTTGTAGTTTTCTTCATATAGATCTTGTACATATTTTGCTAGATTTATATTTAAGTATTTCATTTGAAGTGATAATGTAAATGATAAATGTATTTTTAATGTCAAATTCTACTTGTTTATTGCTGGCATATAAGAATGCGATTGACTTTTGTATATTAACCTTGTATCTTGCAACCTTGCTATATTCACTTATTAGTTCAAGAGTCTTTGTTGATTCATTCAGATTTTCTATGTAGACAATCATGTCACCTGACCCCCACCCCCAACTCCTCTAGCTTGGGCTCTCTCTCAAAAAAGACAATCTCTCTCAAAAAAGACAATCATGTCACCAGTTTTATTTCTTACTTACCAATCTGTGTCCTTTTCTTGTCTTATTGCATTAGCTAGGACTTTCAGTGTATGTTGAAAAGCAGTGGTTGGAGAGGACATCCTTGCCTTGTTTCTAATCTTAGTGGGAAAGCTTTGAGTCACTCACCACTTAGTATGATGTTATTTGGAGAAGTGTGGTGGAGCATGGATTTTAAAGTAATAAGGCAGAAGACAGGGAGACCACCTAAGAATTTGTCCAGAAAACTGGAGGAATACCTGAATTGCCATAAATACTAGAATGGAGAAGACAGAAAGAAGATATAGCTGAAATTATTTAAAAAGTGATCAGAATTTGGTGAACAGTAACAATGAAGGCAAAAGGAGTTTAGAGAGGCTCTCAGTTTTCTAGCTGGGGTGACTATGTAGCACCATCAAAGAAGACAGAAAGTCTAGAAGAAAAAGCAGGTTTGGGGATTAAAAATTCATGCATGCCCTTTTGAACCATATTGGTATGTAGAGTCTGCAATGTCCTGAGGCAGTCGGAAGAAAATGTCCGTCAGTCAGTAAAATATATGAATGCAAGGCTTGGGGAAGTAGTCTGAACTGAGTATCTAGATTCTAATGTTACTTCCTAGTCTGTCATTAATTTAAAATTGTGTAAAAATGGGGTGCCTGGGTGGCTCAGTCAGTTAAACGTTGGACTCTTGATTTCAGCTCAGGTTGTGATTTCAGGGTTCTGAGATTGAGCCCCACATCAGTCTCCATGCTGGGTGTAGAGCCTGCCTAAGATTCTCTCTCCCTCTCTCTCCCTCTGACCTACCCCCCCCACCCCCGACTCCTCTAGCTTGGGCTCTCTCTCAAAAATAAAATAAAATGAAATAAAATAAAATTGTGTAAAAATGCAATAGAGAAATAAAAGAGTTAAATATTTTTGGGCCTAATTTTTACATAGGAGATAGGAAAATGGATAAGGTAAAAACAGTTTCTCATTTATTTAGGAAATGTTTGTTTATTTCTTTTGTGAAAGACATTGTTTTAGATGTTAAGGATACAAAAATGAAACAAATAATCCATATCTTCAAAGAGTTCACAAAATATTGGCAAAGGTGTAAGTAAATTATTGAGATATAAATATATAAAAATATATAAAATATAAACATATAAAAATAATATATAAAAATATAGCTTGAGAATGGCTACAATAATGGCATAAATAATATGTGATCAGTCTTCAGAGAATGAGCAACTAATATAGCCTGAAAATTTCAGATTTCTGAGGAGGAAGAGTATGCCTGGAAGAGGAAACAGCATGTTCAAAGGCACAAGGATGAGAATGCTTCAGCCA